GGTGTCCAGTCCTCCAGGCTTGGCTCTAGGTATATAAAGTCCAATTCTGGAATTTCTTTTGGCAACTATTCTATTTTATTTTATTTATAAAGCTTATTTTTGCAGAAGAAAAACACCTTTCTTCTGATTTCTTGTTTAGTATAGCTTTCTTAAAACTCTTCTATTTGGAAACTTCTACTTGAGCAAAGATTTATTTGTTCTAGGCTAGATTCTACTTACCCAAGATGTAATGAGCATTATTGATCCGGTAGGTTGGGGATCCTTGTAGCAATTAGCAGTAAAAATATATTGGTTTAATAATCCAAAAATATTATCTTCACTTCAGCTAGTGGTTGTAGTGATCTAGGCATAAGGTGATGTGGGCCTGAGGTTTGGGTAGTAACAATGAAGTTGGAGTTTGTCAAATTTGATAGGTATTGTTGTAGAGTAGGCAGTGGGTCTTAATGGCTAATTAAATATTGGTGGTGAAAATAAAAACTCTCAGCAAACTAGGAATATAGAACTTTCTCAACTTGATAAAGAATATCTACAAAATCTCGTAGCTAATATCATACTTACTGGTGAGAAACTAGATGCTTTTCCCCTAAGTTCAGGAACAAGGCAAGGATGTCCACTCTCACTACTCCTATTCAACATTGCATAGGAAGTCCTAGCTAATGCAATAAGACAAGAAAAGGGAATAAACTGTATCCAGATTGGGAAGGAAGAAATAAAACTATCTTTGGTCACAGATGACATGATTGTTTATTTAAAAAATTCCAAAGAATCAACAAAAAAAAACCCTAAAACTAATAATTGATTATAACAAGCCTGCAGTATACAAGATTAACACACAAAGGTTAGTTGCTTTCTTATATACTAGCAATGAACAATTGGGACTTGAAATTAAAACCACAATGCCAATTACATTAGCACCAAAGAAAAGTACTTAGGTATAAATCTAACAAAATATAGACAAATTCTATATGTGGAAAACTATAAAAATCTGGTGAAAGATATCAAAGAGAATCTAAACAAATGGGCAAATATTCTGTGTTCATGGATTGGAAGACCCAGTGTTGTTGGCAGTCCTTCCTAACTTGATCTATAGATTCAACAAAATCCCAATCAAAATCTCAGCAAGCTATTTTGTGGATATTGACAAACTGATTCTAAAGTTTATATGGAGAGGCAAAGACCCAGAATGGCCAACACAAGACTGAAGAAGAACAAAGTTGGAGGACCGACACTACCCAACCTCAAGACTTACTATAAATCTACAGTGATCAAGAGAGTATGGTATTGGTAAAACAGTAGACAGATCAATGGAACAGAATAGAGAGCCCAGAACTAGAACCACATAAATACAGTCAACTTATCTTTGATAAAGGAACAAAGGCAATTCAATAGAGAAAGGATAGGCTTTTCAACAAATGATGCTGGAACAATTGGATGTCCATATGCAAAAAATTGAATCTAGACACAGACCTTACACCTTTCACAAAATTGAAACTGTACATGAATGTCTATCACAGCTTTATTCATAATCACCAAAAACTGGAATCAACCAAGATGTCCTTCAATAGGTGAATGAATAAACTGTGGTATACCTGTACAATGGAATATTATTCAGCGAGAAAAAGAAATGAACCATCAAGCCATGAAAAGACATTGACGAAACTTCAATACATATTGCTAGGTGTAAGATACCAGTATGAAAAGACTATATATTATATATTTCTAATTATATGACATTTTGGAAAATGTTAAACTATAGAGATAGTATAATCAGTGGTTGCTAGGGATTTGGGGAGAGGGTGGAAAGGATGAATAGGTGAACATAGGCAATCTTTAGGGCAGTAAAATTATCCTATTTGCTGCTTTAATGGTGGGTACAAGACATTATGCTTTGGTCAAAATCCGTAGAACTGTACAGCACAATGAGTGAAATTGAATGTAGGCAGATTTAAAAAAAAATCATTTAGGAGGTTTAGAAATCCCAGGAAGGAATGCAGACCATGACAAGAGAATCTAACTGTATTAAAAATGTGTGAAACAACTTCTATGAAGGGGATTGGGGGAAGAGGTCCTGACCTAAGTATCTTTGGAAATGAAGAGTTGGTAGGACTAAAAGCAAAAAACTGCACATGAGCACTGTACTCTAGTTGATAAAGTTGTTTCCCATGAGAGTATGGGTTAACAATTCTGATACTACTATAAAAGTATATTGGAATGGAATAGTTATGTAAATGGACAGCAGATGGTGAGAGCCAAGTTTCTTGTTGGAGTGGGAGTTTACGGATAACCAAGGGGAGGAAGCGAGAATGATCCATGTGGTAATCCATTAGAATTGGAGACATCAGTATGAGCTCATGTTTAGCTTAATATAAATGCAGACGGTTGTGTATAGAAATGTTTGCAAATATGTGTGTATACACAAGTTAGTATATTTTTTGCTCTTTTAGATGAGAGGACCTAGAAGCAACAACACCCCAGTAGCAACATGCAGACCCAGTGCTCAGATCTTGGTTCTAATGACATTCTCAAATAAAAGGAACCAGGGCTCCTTGGAAAAATGGCTGATCCTAGGACTGGGGCAGGAAATATACAAGATGCCAGAAAATAAAGAAGTGTTCAAAAACAGCCAACGTACTCACTTATGGGAGTATATCAAAGGGACACAGGTGCCAATTGAAAGATCTCCCAATGGCCAAAGCTGAAATGATTTGAGCAACAAAGTAAATAAAATAGTATTGGATTGTAACTCAAAGTAAGAAATAAATATTCACAAGTCCATAATGATATACATAAGTGATTGAATAAATAAATAGGAGAGAAGAGATAAATTTCCCATGTAGAAGAATTCCAGATAAATTGTGTGAAATACTCTGCCTTCAAGGAGGATGAGCATAACTCCTGCACCTTAAGTATGGGCTGCACATAGTTACTTCCTTCCAAAGAGTACAGTAGGGGTAAAAATAGTGTCTTTTTAGTAGAGAAACCTGACAAACACTACGATAGCCATGTGATCAAGCTCAACATCAATAGAGATAAGTCATGTTGGTAGAATGCACACTTTACATGATATGATGAAAATGGCACTTTACCTTTGTGGTCTTCCTCCCAAATCGCATAACCCCAGTCTAATTGTGAGGAAGAGATCAGACATATCGCAATAGTGGGGCTTCCTACAAAATACCTGACCAGTACTCCTCAAAACTGTCAAGGTCATCAAAAACAAGGAAAGTCTGAGAAACTGCTGCAGCCGAGAGGAGCCTGAAGAGACACGACAACTACGTGTAATGTATCCTGGATGGAATCCTGGACAGTAAAAGGATATTAGGTAAAAATTAGGGAAATTTCAATAAAGTATTAGTGATGTATCAGCATTGGTTCGTTAATTGCAACAAATGTATCGTACTAACGTAATATGTCAATAATAGGATACACCGGGTGTGAGTATATGGGAACTCTGTGCTATCTTCTCAATTTTTCTGTAAATCTAAAACTGTTCTAAAAAATAAAATCTCTTAAAAAAATAATAATAAAAGGGAACTCCAAGGCTATATACTTGAATAACAGAAGAGAATTGAGATTCTGTTGATTGTTGTTAGAAAACAGCAAGGGAGTGCATAACTGACTGGGTAGATAATAAGATTTTTCCTTCACAGAGGTATTAGCTGGGCATTCAAGAAATCTCCTGAAGACGATTTGAAATCTGTCCATATCACTTTTCTGATTAAGATGCTTCAGTGGCTCCCATGGGCTAAGATAAGGCCCAGACTCCTTATGTTGCATACAACCTGATCCTACCTTTCTGGACTCACTTTCTTCTCTCTGTTGTTCAGCAACAACAACAAGCTTGTTTATCTACACACCGTGCTGCCTGTTGCCTCTCAGCCTTTGTTCATGCTACACATTTTTCTGAAATTCCCTACCTCCCATCCCTCACTTTCCTATACTTAACTTAGTTATTTAACACTTTTCAGCTTCACCTTCTCCAGGAAGCCCTTCCTGATTCTCCTGAGTTTAGTGCCTTTTTTTCCTCCCCAAGCTGGAGGAGTCCATCTCTATCTTATTGGCCTTACATATTTTATTATTATTATTTGTGTGTGGTTGTGTCCTCTACTTGGCCATGAACAAATCAAAGCCAGAGTTTTATTGTATCCATACCAATAACAGAAGATAGAAGTTGCGTAATTCATATTTATATTATGAGAAAGAGACAGACAACAGACACTTGGTTCTTACCTATAGGAAACTCACATTTGAGGGAAGAGATCAAAATATAATTATCTTTTATAAATAATAGTTGCTATTGCAAATTTTAATTAATTCTCACAAAACTTATGTTCTGGAACTCCTAAATCTTATAAGAAAACTTTTTAAAGCAGTAGAAGGCGAGAAAGGTGAAATATTTTCTAATATTAGATTATAAATGCCTTAAAAAAAGAGAGAGGTGATTTTGATGATCTGGAGGGTATGCAGATTGCTCCTAGGCATCTAATTCTTGAATGTTTTGCTATATAGTCTTTGAGTAATTTATGTGAACTTCATTTGCTGTTGAAAATTCAATCCAGAACATGTGGAATAGCACAGAAAAGTGGTTTATATTTAAATGTAAATGTACTTATGGTAAGAATTGTCCTCTTTTCCATCATTATTTTAGAGTATTTTCTCAAAGGAAAATTTCGTATTTTAGTATTATCTATTCACTGATAGAGATGGGCAACTCTGAAATGCAGTATAGCCTACACTGCACTCTCCCTAGTTGAAGCTCTTCTGTGATTCAGAGCCCTTTGTCCAGGGAATACACCTTTCCGTTAGCCAATTACATGATCTCTGTTTCTGGATCTTATGGAACAAGGTCAAGTACATAGTGCAATTTATGCAAAAATGTTCTAGATTTGTCACAAGGATTTGAAAATGAAGCAAAATTATATTCTTGTGAAATGACTGGTTTTAAATTCTGTCCTTCAGTGTTTGCTCATATTTATGAAATCATCTTACATTGATTATAGGGTACAGGAGATACTGACTGTCATTTTAAGATTAAGAAGAACTTGGAAAATGCATCTATAAGCCTGGAATCTACGAAGAACCCAGGATTGTTTGTTGGACTTCAGTCAGATGGACAGGCAAAACCAGTTATTTATACCAAGAGTGGAAATGTTTTCTTCTATCCGCAAGTCATCAAATGTACGTTCACTCTGAAAGACTTCCATTTTTGGTTTGTTTTGTGGTGGTTTGTATACAGTATCTGATAATTTCATCACGTTTTTACTAAGCAAATCTCTGCTGTTAGGCTTTTTTGTCATTGTTATTCTAGAAGCGGTGGAAAGAAACAATGAAGATCACTTACCTTAAATTCTCAGATGTTTAATGTTTGTTATAGAGTTTTTGCTACATTAAGCTCCTTTATAGTTTTTTAAATTGGGTGTGTGCATTCATGTGTGTGTGTGCATGCATAAGTGTATTTTGTTATTTAAGGGTATCTCCATATACTGAGAGGGGATGGGGCTGTTAAAAACATTCTCAGCTTCATTGCTATTAATTTTTAATGCTCACAGCGTAAAAGGGGATAGAAAAAAGATCAACACAATAAGATTTGAATTAAAAATAGGATGTGGAAAAAAGTCTAAAGATAGGATAGAAATGTGAATATTTTGAAACTGGTTTCTCTCATATCTAAGTTCAGGTTCTCTAGCAAATTAAAGTGAGGCTCTGAGGACTTTATTTAAACAGTTTAAGCTTAGAATATATTTGCTTGAATACAGAGGTTAATGAGATACTCTATTGTGTTCTTAAATTAGCTCAGAATTTATTTTGCTATCTATTTTTTGCCTGATGTAGTCCTATGGATTTTGGCTTAATCAAAATCTAGATGATTTTTTTAGTCAGTCTGACTCTTATTTAACTTCTCTTTTCTTATCAAAGTCTACGTATACTTTATATGGCTATATAAATACTTGAAGATATTATATATATATATCCTATCTGTAGGATATTATAGCTTTAATAATTTATAGATATATAAAATATTCTACAGAGGATAGTTTAAAATAAGAACATAAAGAGCTTGATTTATTATAGATATATAAAATATTCTACAGAGGATAGTTTAAAATAAGAACATAAAGAGCTTGATTTATCATGATGGTATATCTGGCCTGTTCTTTGTGTTATCTGCATCCCTTCCATTTCAGCCTTTAGTTGCCACATTTCAAAATTTGCAAATTGTTGGGCTTGTACACCTTAACTTCCTGCTATCCATATCAGCACTACATCCACCCTCTGTTTTTCCACAGGCTGGCACAGAGTGGCACTCCTACTCAAAACGGGTATGCCGTCTGTCTCTGGAGCTCTGGAGGGAAACAGATGACTTGAGAGAACGCAGAAAGATAAGGGTGGGATAGAAGAAAAAGCAGTGAGAAATGCCTAGCAGGGGACAGCAACCATGCTGGAAGAGGACAGGGAGAAAGGAGAGCTAATACAAAGGAAGTGGCAGTGAAGAAAAGATGAGAAGGAAGAGAGAGCAACGATTAGAAAAGGAGAGGAATAGAGGAAAAAATAATTTGTGGCAATATGTGAGAGAGACATAACAAAAGGCCATGTCTGTCAATCTAGGGTATCAGTACCAATAGAACCAATAGATATGAAGTCATTCTTTTTTACAGGCTCTACAATTTAGTTCTATTAATAGAACATAGAGATTTGAGTTTTCTTCTCTATTTATCAGCTGTATGGTCTGAGTTAAGCCAACTAACATTGAACAGCTTTGGTTTCTGTGTCTGTGTGACTGGCATAACAGTAATACCTTCTCTCTCTACCCAGTAGAACTGTTGGGGATCAAGCAAGTATACGTGTTTGTTTCAGTAATACTAGCTAGCATTTGTGGGCAGTTATTTTATGCCAGACACTGCAAAGCATGGCTTATATCATTTAATCTCACTTTGAAAAGTAGGTATATTATTTTTTATTTTTTGAAACTACGCTCTTATTATTTGATAATGTTTTTGAAAAAAGATTGAATACGCCCAGCAATTGTGAGTTAAATTTAAAAGCTTATCGCCAATAGGGCTAGGACTGATCTTCTGATGCTGTATTAGTTAACCTGTTGATAGACATCATAGTCTGTTTATATAATATTTTGTTTTATTATTTTTATTATACAGATATAATGTGTAATTGTGGAAAATTTTGAAAATATACTCAGGTAGAAATCTATCCAGAGATAAAACCATTTACATTTTGATGTACATCTTTTCATGATTTTTTTCTGTGGTGTATATTGTATATATGTGTCTACCTTTTTCTTTAAATATACTAAAAGTATATTTTTAAACAAAAAATGGGACTGCAGTCTTGTATATATGTGAAACAATTTTATGTTTTACTTAAAAAAAAACAAATTATTTTCATCAATACACATAGATTTATACCATATTTTCAAATGAGTTGCATTGATGCATTTACCACAAATTATTTAACCAATCCCCTGATGTTGGATATTTTATTGTTTAATTTTTTGTTGTTATAAACAATGTTGGGATGGTCATTCATGTACATACATATTTTTGCACTTGTATGAAATTTTTTCTTAGCGTAAATTACCAGAAGTGGAATTGTTCACTCAATTTAAATAACAGTAGACTTCTTAAATCTGAATGTCCTGTGGTGATTCTAACAGTCTCAGAGATAAGAAGTGTGGTTTTGGCACTAGTTGTCAGTCCTACGGGGAACTGTCTAGAGGTTTCTGTTTATTGTCGTTGTACAGAGACTCTCTCTTGCCTTGACGGGCTATCAGGTATCATGCTTAGATCTTACAGGTTAGCCAAATTCCTGTGATCAATGAGCTCTTCCTATTTGGATTAACCCATGAAGATAGTCATGGAATTTTGTATATATATTTGTGTCTGTCCCCTAGTTCCTGGCCCAAAGCTCTAAAACCCTTGTGAATTCCTAAGTGATAAGGGCACTAGGAGCATCTTTTGTTCTAATGAGGCAACTGTGGATGGGCTCCTGGATGGGCATTGGTCACCAGAAAGACTAAGCCATGATTAGAAGCTTGGAATTTTCAGTCCTACCCCCCAACCTTCAGAGAGGGGAGAGGGGCTGGAAGTGGAGTTAATAATTGACCGTGCCTACTTGAGGAAGCCTCCATAAAATCCCATAATGTGGGGTTTGGGGGGCTTCCAGGTTAGTGAACACATCCACACTGGAAGGGTGATGCATCCCAGCTCCACAGAGACAAAAACTCCTGTGCTTGGGACCTTCCCAGACCTTAACCCTACGTATCTCTTCACCTGGCTGTTCATCTATATCTTTTGTTATATTCTTTAATAAACTGGCAAATGTAAGTAAATGTTTCCCTGAGTTCTGTGAGCTGCTCTAGCAAATTAATCGAACCCAAGGAAAGGGTCATGTGAACTTCCAATTTATAGCTGATCAGTCAGAAGCACAGTTAACAACCTGGACTTGCGATTGGCATCTGAAGTGGGGGACAGTCTCATAGGACTAAGCCCTTAACCCGTGGGATCTGATGCTATCTCCAGGTAGGTAGTGTCAGAGTTGAGTCAAATTGTAGGACACTCAGCTGGTGTTGCAGAATTGTTTGGTGTGGAAAAACCCCCACACATTTGACTACCAGATGGATCAGAAGTGACGTGTTCTGTGTGAAAGCAAAGGAGACACATGGGTGAAAAGATTAGGTTTTTCTAACTGAAACATGTAAAAATGTCTTGGTGAAATGGGGTTTGCCTTTGAGCTACCTAAACTTGCTGCCAATTCCCATCCAAAACTTTTCATGTTAAGATATGTGAAGTTCTTGAACTAGATATTGAGCAGATAATCAACAGATTATTGGGTCCACTTATTTCTTATAACGGTGAAGAACAAGCCACCAAAATGGATTTTCAGTAAGTCTGGAGAATATATATGATGTTCAGTTGGTAGAATATAACCCAACCCCTTATGAAACTCAGTCTGATAATGTTGGCTTCTTGATGACCAGCATGGAAGTCAGATGCTCCCCTGAAGTCCTGTCTACTGAGTTAGAAGTTATCTCGTGGCATTTGTTAGGGCCTCTCTGACCATAGAGTACCAAATGGTAACGTTTGTTCCCTTCATGTTCTAGGATGCAGCACAGTGCCTGGCTCAGAGTCAGTTGTTGAATTACTGAATGGTGTAGCATCAAGTGAGTGAGAGTGCATGTCAGGAATGTCTAGATTTTATTTTCATATGCTAGCAGTGTGTTCCTAATTAACTTAATTAGCATCTCTGAACCTCTGTTTTGTCATCTGTAAAGGAGGATAATAACATTGTATTACAGTAAGAACTTTTAGTCTGAATCTGTGAACCTTTTGAAATTGTGAGTAAACATATTTTGAGTAAACAAATTCTGTGCAAATATGCATAAGTGTACATTTGAGATGGGAAGAAGCTCATGATCTTCTTTAGATTTTCAAAGGGATCAATGACTCAGAAAATGTTAAGGAACTCTATTTTACAGGGTTTTGTGAAGATTGACAGGATGTTTATTTAAAAGTTTATAGAGTTCCTCAAATCATTTTAAGAATTTTTTCTACCTAGATTATCTATATATGATAGATTGAACCTGCTCTATACCAAAAAAAAAAAAAAAAAATCCCATTGAAACTGTTGGAAGTTTTGAGTTGTTTGTATTTCAGTATGTACAGAGACAGAACAGCTCAACTCCATAGCTTTTTTTTGCAGCATTAACTTTTCCTCATAGTTTTCAAGAAGGCAGAGTTGCAATTGTTAGGCACCCTTAGCAAGAAAGGGACTTGGATAGGTGAAGAGATAGTGGTAGGAAGAGAATAGTCAAGTTCAAGAGACTCCAGTGGAGACCTTCCTGCGGAGAAGGTACCTCTTGTCTCCCAGCATGCGCTCCTGATGTATGGACCTTGGTTCCCTAGAAGCCCCTGCCCCTGGTGTAAGGGTCTCCCTGTACTGCTTGGTCTGGCAAGGCTCACGGTCACATGGAAGGCACTGCTTTAGCCTGCCTGTGATGACACAGTCCTGTTGACTAGGTTCCCTCACCAAATAGAGGCTTGCAAGTACAGCAGGGTAGAGAAGCAAGGGTGGCATTTCAGCTCGCAGGCTCTGAGAGCCAGACTGCCAGTGTTCACATCCTGGTTTGGCCTCTTGCTAGCTGTGTGCTCTCATAGCACCTGCACCAAATGCCTGTCCTCTATAAAATGAGGACGAAGAGTGCCTTAACTCAGTGGCGGTGTGAGATTATGTGAGTTAACCTGTACAAGATGCTTGGAATAGTGCCTGGTACTCAGTAAGTGCTATGCAAATATTTGTGGTTATAATTATTAAAGAAAGGAAGAGCTCTTAGTGATTTTTTTTCAGCAAGATTTTTAAAAAAGATTTCAGTGTTTTTTTAGAGCAGTTTAAGAATCGTGGGAAAATTGAGGAGAAGATAAGAAAGATTTCCCATATACCTCCTGCCCTACACATGCATAGCCTCCTCCATCAATATCCCCCACTAGATGATACATTTGATACAATTGATGAACTTACATTGACACATCGTAATCACTCAAAGTCCATAGTTAACATTATGGTTCATTCTTGGTGTTATCTATTCTGTGGGTTTGGACAAATGTATAATGACAGGCATCTATCATTATGGTAGCTACAGAATATTTTAACTGACTTAAAAATTCTTACACTAATTGATTTTTGAAATTTGAAGCAGCCTTGCATACCTAGGATAAATCCTGCTTGGTCTTGGTGTATTAATCTTTTTATAGGTCGTTGGATTCAATTTGCTAATATTTTGTTGAGGATTTTTGTATTTACATTCATCAGACTTACTGGTCTGTAGTTTTATTTCCCTGTGATGTCTTTATCTGGTTTTGGTATTAGGTTAATACTGACCTCTTAGAATGAGTTAGGAAGTATTCTCTCTGCTTCTATCCTCTGAAAGAGATTATAGCAAATTGGTATAATTTCTTCCTTCAGTGTTTGGTAGAATTCTCCAGTGAACCATCTGGGCCTGGTGCTTTCTGTTTTGGAAGAGTATTAAGTCTTGATTCAATTTCTTTAATAGATATAGGCCTATTCAGATTGTCTGTTTCTTCTTGTGTGAGTTTTGGCAAATTGTGTCTTTTAAGGAATTGTTCCATTTCATCTAGGTTATCAAATTTGTGGCAAGTTGTTCATAGTATTCCTTTATTATCCTTTTAACGTGCATGGGATCTGTAGTGATGTCCCCTCTTTCATTTCTGATGTTAGTAATTTGTGTCTTGTTTTTCTCTTAGCCTGACTAGAGACTTACCGATTTTATTGATCTTTCAAAGAACTAGCTTTTGGTCTCATTGAATTTTCTCTATTGATTTTCTGTTTTCAATTTCATTGGTTTCTGCTCTAACTCATCATGGTGTATCTTTTACAACTTAAGTAGAGTTGATAAATTCATGGAAGATAAGAGATCCCTTTCATTCCCTCTTTTAATCACTTTGGACAAATCACTTAACTTTTCTGTGATTGGTTTCTTCGTCTACAATTTGGTTAGGATTTCATTTAATTAATTTATTGTGTACTGAAAATTTATAATAAAAGTCATTTATTCTACTACTACTTAGCTGTGCTAGCTAGCTTCTGCTGCAAAACCTCCTATTCTCTATTTCATGAATTTACATTCACAGTACTATGAACTTTATATATAGGAGAAAGTATGAAGAGATCTGTGTGTGCTTACATTATCAGTTATTATAATGAGCCCATGGAGAAAGTTCTCAATAGATTATCTGGAAATATGGATGATTTGGAAGTTCTGTTTGTTCCCGCTGTTCCAGATGATAAACCCACCATTATAATTGCATATAGTAAGACCACACTGTGCTAGGTATTATTTAAAGAATGTTGGGGGCCGGCCCGGTGGCGCAAGCGGTTAGGTGCGCACGCTCAGCTGTGGCGGCCCAGGGTTCGCTGGTTCGGATCCCAGGCGCGCATCAACGCACCGCTTGGCAAGCCATGCTGTGGTGGCGTCCCATATAAAGTAGAGGAAGATGGGCATGGATGTTAGCCCAGGGTCAGTCTTCCTCAGCAAAAAAAAGAAGAGGATTGGCAGATGATAGCTCAGGGCCGATCTTCCTCACAAAAAAAAAAGAATTTTGGATCAATATAACTTGTGACTTTTCATTAATTTCAGTGTACTGTTACTTTTTTAGAACATCTAGGTAATAGTGAGTATATCCAAGTTTTATAAGTATCATAATGAAGACTTAAATTATGTATAAAAATTATGCATAATAATCCTCTTGCTCTAATTCCAGCCTGGTTTTATGGTATTAGCCACCCTCTGTATACAAATCGTGAGGCTTGGGGTATTAGTAACCTAAAAAAAATACAAGACTGAAGATATGGTAAAGATGTCATGTTTCTATTATAATGAGAAGAATTTATTTTAGATTCAAGTCTTGTGGAAGTTTTTATTAAAATATATTTGGAAATTTCATTCTCACTTCATACTAGTCTGCTAAGATCATTCAAAGTTTTGACAAGTTTCAAAGTCTAAATGAAATACTATCATATACACAGTTCATCAGATCCTGAATATGTATATTACGATTTTATTTAGAAAAATATGACAAAATATGTTTCAGATAATAAAATAGACTGCATGGATTTAAAATATACATGCCGAAATAACATGGCACATTGCTATTGTGTAGGTTTTAGCTTGTTTTATTTTTTAAATAGCTGATATTTAATAAAACAGAAGTTTTTTACTGGTTCACTTTGTAGAGTGTACAGCCTTTCTGTCTGGTGGATCTTGATAATACTAAACTTTTGGATATAATGAGACAGTATCTGAAGTGAATAAATTAATCATTCAATTCCAGCTATCTGTGTAATACATACCTTTTGATAGTATTTCCAGGTAGACAATTCTATCTTCATCACAGATTTTATTTTATGTTGTGGTTGATAAATTTCACATTGTTTTTTAAATTGTTAAGGTGAGACAGAAACAGCACACTGGTAAGAGTCACTCCAATTCAGAATAGGTTGTGAGCATGGAGGGCATTTGGTACTTGGATTTTGGACCTCCATCTGTGACCTACGTGGCCCAAAGGCAAAGTGGGCAGCCTTCTGTACAGAAGGACAGGAACGTTCTGGATGACCTTTCCAGAAAATATCTTACAGGCCCTGAATTTCCTAATATTAAAGCAACTATTGTGTTTATAAAAAAAGATTGACAGTGTTTCTGAGGAGGAGGTAGAATCCTGAGAAGTTAGTGCGGGGAGGGTAGAGAAACGAGAGATGCTCATTCCCATTTCACAGTTCTGCTTAGGCCACATCTGCTGTGCAACCCTTTCTGTGCTTGTTTCTAATTCCTAGACTGGCACGTTAATTGCTTTCTCCTCTGCGCTCCCTGGGCACTCTGTGCATGTGTCTGTTACAGCATTCATCACTATACACCATAGGTCATTGTTTGCGTGTACTCCCTTTGGGCTGCAACCCCATCAATGTCAGAGCCGTGTCTTATTCATTGATTTATTCTCATGCTTATGGCAGTGACTGGAAGAGAGTTTATCTTCTCTGTGTAAATCCTGGATTTCTACATTACTTGTAAATAATGTAGACCCTTAATTATGGGTCCCTTAATTAGACCACAATAAAATGGACCCTAAATTATATTTAGGAATCTTTTGATTCTTTTTTCCTCTCCAAGAGTTCATTTACCCTCAGTGGACATATTTCTAGTTATTTCTGATCTTCCTTTTCATATTTTAAAGTTCTGTTATTAGCCTCAATCTCCATTGTCTAAGCATTGCATTGTAAATAAACCATATGGAAAAACTTATGTTTTATAATGTTTTTAAAGCTTATTATTGTCTGAATTTATATCTTATAATACGTGATCATGGGCAGTTCTTCAGACACCAGTATTGCATAGTCTGTGCCATCACTCCATATGATCAAGTGTTGCTAATTCCTGTTAGCCATACATTTTATGAGTCATCTTATTGACTGCAATTGTGGTATTAAGAAGTAGCTCCTATTATTTATTATAATGTAGAATCAGACATCTATATAATTTTGTTGCTGATGAGGTTTCTAAAATCTGACGATCATAGTATGAATTACTACCATTTAAAAATGGCCATACTGGGGCTGGCTGGGTGGCGCAAGTGGTTAAGTGCACACGCTCCGCTTCAGCCCGGGGTTCGCAGGTTTGGATCCTGGGCATGCACCGATGCACCTCTTGTTAAGCCATGCTGTGGCTGTGTCCTATAGAAAGTAGAGGAAGATGGGCACAGAAGTTAGCTCAGGGCCACTCTTCCTCAAGAAAAAAAAAGCAGGGGGGAGGGTTGGCATTTATGTTAGCTCAGGGCTAGTGCTCCTCACAAAAAAAAAAAAAAAAATTGGCAACGTTTGAGTCGAAACTCAGGAGTCTCCACAAAAAAAAAAAAAAAAAAAAGGCCATACTATGCCTGATCTTTAAGAATGAAATGCAAACAACTTAAACTTTGTAATCCTAAATACAAAAAGCAATCGTGAGCATATACTATAAAACTGGAGTCATTCAGCTGGGTTGGAGATATCTATTCCTGAACAAGACACCAAAAAAACTTGCCTCTAAATAAAAGGCAGAAAAATAGCTAATGTTTTCTTAATTTATAGGTATATGTGTATTTATTTGATTATCATATTTCGGTAAAGTCACATGAAGTATTGTTTGAATGATGTTTTAGTCATTTCCCCTCATCATGAATGCAAAGTACCAACTTATCAAAGGAGTTCTCATTTAGAATCTATAAGAAAAACATCTTGAATAAGTCATTTGATTCATACTGTGGCATTAAATTATTGCTTGGATTTACAAAGCAGTGAATAGATTTTATAGGAATACCATTCATGGGCAGCCTACTGCTAAGAATAAAAAGTCATCTTCTGGTAACTATGTAATGCAGAGTAGAAAGATCTGACTAGGCATTGAAAAGGAAACAAGAGCAACACTTAAACTTGCATAGCTGAACATACGGTGAATTTTCTGAGAAGAAACAAGTGATTTTGAGAGGATATCATCTTTTAAAATCTTAATTTCAGTTGGCAGAGAAAACCCAAAGTGTATATCTGCGACACCCAGCCAAGAGGAGGAAAAGATCCGTAAGTCAAAAAAACAGCAAGAAACACCACCAGAATCTGAGGCCAGAGGTCCCTTACTTTCTTCAACTGCAAGTAAGCGACGACTTGTTTTTCTTCTTTTAGTTTGTTTGTCTGCTCTGCTTCTTTGTGGCCACCTCAGGAAGAACACCAAATTATTTTTATCATATAGGGTACCTCATACCAGATGAACTTGCTTTTAAGCTATCATCTTGCTTTTTTATGCTTTGGTTTTATATTGCAAAGAATACATATATTTTAAAATGTGTTTATTTCTTTGTCTTGAATTCAATGTTCATTCCAGAACAATGACTTGAAAAGAAGATAGTATTAAATTATGACATTGGGGAGCTGGCCCAGTGGTGTACCAGTTAAGTTCATGCACTCTGCTTCGGTGGCCCAGCGTTCACTGGTTTGGATCCTGGGCGCAGACCTACTGACCGCTCATCCAGCCATGCCGAGGTGGCATCCCATGTAGAAGAACTAGAAGGACCTACAACTAGGATATGCAATTATGTACTGGGGCTTTGGGGAGAAAAAAGAAAAAAAAAAAGAGGAAGATTGGCAACAGATGTTAGCTCAGTCCCAATCTTCCTCAAAAAAAAAATTATGCCATTGTATTGGACTATCACCTACAAAATATTTAATGAATAACAGCAGATTCTCACCAAAGTGTAAGCAACAACAAAAATAATCTCCTCCATTTCTCTTATATGGAAACTGAGACATGAATAAAGTACTGTAGGCCTCAGAGATTTGAATTTTTAGTTTCTATCTTTTAGTCTGTTTGATCATTTTTCTTGCTCTTAAATGTATTCCCTTGTATCTGCCTGGGAAGTAAAATGAATGATATCTGACAAATTCTGTGCATCAGAATCCAGTTATCTTTGGGTAAAATGAAATAGTGGACCACTGTCTCTGAACCATTTTTTTTAAATCCATTTTGAGAGACAGATAAATTGTAACATTACTTTTAAAAAAGTGCTTTTTGCAAATCAGTTATTGGATGTGCTCTCTTTCTTTCAGATAGTAACGGAAAATAGACGTCTTGCTGACAACTCTATGATACTATCACATCAACCAGAGGGAAGAGAAATTAGCCTTTTGATTTTTGCTGCATTGGACTAGGACCAGTTTTATATTTCCATGTTATATCATGAATCCGTGGAGCAGTGTGACAAATAACACTGCATGAGAAACATGTGCTTAAAATTTTTCGCAGAAGGAGAATTCAATCTTGTGTCAGGAAATAATGGCACCTAAATCTAGGATGGCCACCTCAAGTAAAATTTGACTTGGTTCAAAATATCATGCTAGCTGAAATCTCTAGGAATAGACACTTTTTTATGAGTAGCAAAATGCTTAAGAGAAAATCTATCTTATGAAAATTTGTCTGTTCTGGCAAAAACATTTAAAAAATGTTACTATTGTTAATTTTTTTTTAAGTTTAAGGTGCGCAACATGATGATTTGATACATTTGTATATTGCAGTTGTAGCATTAGCTAGCACCTTTATCATGTCGCATAATTATCATTTCATTTTCTGACAGGAATAATTAAGATCTAGTCTCTTAGTAAGTTTGATGTTTATAATACAATATTGTCTGTAATCACTATACTGTACATTTGACCTCTAGGTCTTAATTATCTACTAGTTCCAAGTTTGTACCCTTAAACATCTCTCCTATTCCCCATACCCCCTCCTCCTCTCAGCCCTTGGTAACCACCATTTTACTTTCTGTTTTTAGGAGTTCGGCTTTTTTTAGATTCCACATATAAGTGATGTCATACAGTATTTGTCCTTGATTGTCACTTAGCATAATGTTCTTAAGGTCCATCCATGTTGTCACAAATGGCAGGATTTCCTTCTTTCTCATGCCTGAATAACATTCCATTCAATTGTATATATACATTTTTATCCATTCATCTGTTGATGGACACTTAAGTTGTTTCCACTTCTTCGCTATTGTGGATAATGCTGCAGTAACCATGGGAGTGCGTACATCTCTTTCATATCCTGTTTTCATTTCCTTTGGGTGTATACCCAGAAGTGGAATTGCTAGATTATATGGTAGTTCTATTTTTAATTTTTTTGAGGAGCATCCATGTTTTCCATAGTGGCTGTACAAATTTACATTCCCACCAACAGGGTACAAGGATTCCCTTTTCTCCACATCCTTGCCAACACTTATTATCTCTTGTCTTCTTGATGATGGCCATTCTAACAGATGTGAGGTGATATCTCATTGGTTTTGATTTGCACTTCCCTGATGATTAGTGATGCTGAGCATCTTTTCTTGTAATTCTTGGCCATTTGGATGTCTTCTTTAGAAAAATGTCTGTTTAGTTTCTCTGTCCATTTTTTAATTGGATTTTTTTTTTTATTATTGAGTTGTATGAGTTCTTTATATATTTTGGATGTTAACCCCTTATCTAATACCTTTGTTAAATATTTAAGGATTGGAAAGTGTAAGTTTTAGATTGATGCAGGGTAGACCAAGTAATGTTCAAAAATGATAAAATTAGGCCTCATGATAAATATAGGTCTTTTCAAATCATTCTTTCATTTAATAAATCATCAAATATGCATTGTGTGCCTACTAAATGTCAGCTATAAGGAAATACAGCAATGGAGAAAAAAGACTTGGTCTCTGCCCTTTTGAAGTTTACAGTCTAGTGAGCCAAATAAACATTAAACAATCACACAAAAATATAAGGTTAAAAATGGATAATGAGATGAAGAAAACATCCAGGGCATGCTAGACACAAAATAAAAGTTGTTATTAATTCATTGTAAAAAGACTTGTAAGTTCTTTATTGTGGTTAATGGCAATACAGTAGAAATGGAGAGTGGACCAAAAACTGAGAAAAGGGAGACTCAGCTTGATTTATTAATGAGCTATTTAAAACATTGATGTAGCACAGACTTTGGACTTGAAATTCTGGAAATCCAGATGATAAAGCTTCCCTAATGCAAATGCCATCTACAAAATGCCCATGATTTGTTTAAATTCTGCCTTCTCTAATTGCAATAGAAATGATTTTTATAAGCATCCCTGACTTTAGATGGGAAAAAATGTCTTCACATATGAATATTACTTAGAAGACTCTCATCCATTACTGAGTAATTAGATCATGACTCTATTATCTTCTTTCTACCTCCATCAAATATCTGCAGTAGTTAAAAGTTGTTTCTTGCAAGAAATACCTTCCTCTTGGTTTTGCAATTTAGCTATCATGCTAGATAGATTTGGGTTACATTAGCCATTCATATTAAAATATATGTTAGTTGAAAAATACTTTAGAAGACTTATTTCGTACTTTTAAAGACATCAAAAACAACCATCAGCTCCTGAAGAATGAGGTTATGTTTGTCAGTCTACTTTCAGGATAGGGCAAGATTAGGGGATTAGGTATTACAGATAAAATAAACCTGCCCTCTGTATTCAAAATGCTCATTTATTAAAAGGAAAGATGAAACTTTTCTTATCTACATCAAAAGATGACAAAGATTTAGAATTTATAGTACCACATATACAATAAATAGTGCTTTTGTAGTAGTAAATAGAGGCATAATGCCATTAAATTTGCAGAGTTTTCCTTTAGGGCCAAGTTGAATTTTGATACTAGTTTTGTTAGGGTAGGGAGGGTTTGAGAAAGGAATATTTTTTATTTTAAATAAATTTTTTAATTATGGAAAATTTCAGACATATACAAAAGTGGAGACAATGGAATAATGAAGCCTCATGTACCCATTGTCCCACTTCAGCAATTATCAACATATGCCTAATCTTGCTATAGTTATGATCCTTCACACTGTGTCCCACACTGCCTCCATTGAATTAAATCCAAGGCTCATCCATTAATACTTTGGAAACTCAAATTTTAAAAATTATTAAATTATTTGGGAATATAAATTGCTTCTGCATAATTTTAAGTTTGGAAACATTGCATCTAAAAACATCAAGCCAAATATAAAAATGAAAGACTTATAATTTGATATTCTGAACTGAAACTGTGCTTAGAAATATTCACTGTAACCTCTTATTTTTACAAATGAGAAAACTGAGGCCCAAGAAGGTGAATGTGGTTGAAGTCTTACTTCTAAATCGAGGTGAACCTGCTCTGTGTGTGGGAACTTGAGCAGTGTGGTGCAGCAGCCACACCAGTTCTTTGTCTGTTGTGGTGCCTCATTGGTGTTGTTGGGCAAGGCCTAATCAGTGCCAAAGTCTCAGCCAGAGCATATTCTTTCTTTAAACCTTTTAGATGACAACACTTTAAGAACCAAAGATCCCTAGGCAAGGTAATTTGAAATCTGTTATCAAGTTGAAGTCTTCCTTAAAAGCGGTCACAATAAATCAAGTTTATTCTGCAAAAAAGATAAAACACGTAAAACACGAAGGAAAAAATTAAAATTATATCATCTTATTACCTTCCTAAAAGCACTTTAAATATTTATTTATACTTATATATACGTGTATATATGCACATGTATAGGTTATGTTGGATATATACTTTTTTAATCTGCTTTTCAGTTAATACAAGATAGTAAGCATTATATGTATTTTTCATAACATTAAATACTTTTGGAAAATAATTTAATAGCTGCAAATAATCCACTGTGTTTAGAGGTACCATAACATAATGACCAATTCTCTTACTATCGTCATTTTTTCAAATTTTTTTCGAGTATAACTTGCAATGGACGCTCATCTGTATTTTGTCTTATTTCTTTAGAATAATTCTTATAAATGGAATTACCAGATAATAGATTATAGTAATTATTCTTCCTGTTGGGATCTTAGTGTTAGTTCCTTTTCAATGTTAACAAAAAATAGCACTTCAGTATCCAGAGTGAAGTGTCGGTTTATTTTTTTGTGCTCATGCTCTTATAGTAAATTACAACGTGAAGGTGATGTGAGTTTTCAATAGAATGAGGATTTGAAGGGAACTTTGACCTGACAAAAGTAATGTAGAAGTTCACATGAAGAGTGCAGATATAAGCCATTCCATTTCAAACAATCCTAATCACTTGAAAGTACCTCTCTATGTTAAGCAGGAAACCTGCTCACTATAAATTCTTTTGACCCACAAAAAGTCAACATCCTCTTCTATAAAATAAACCTTGTTTTTTCTTAGTTATTGTCATTTCTTCTTAGTATATTCTTATATTTGAATATAAATACACTAAAAAATGGATTCCAGTGTTTCTTTTTAGTATATTCTGTTCTTTCAAATATGTTGTTTTAATAGTTCCTCCTAATGTATGTTTTCTAAATTCTTTACCTTTATGAATATTTTATTTAAAGTGTGATTCTCCAAGTAGGAGCCTGTCTTCTCATTCTAACTTCTCTGAAGTTACAATAATGGTATTCCTTTAATGTGGACCCTATGCATCTGTTACTATAGTCTTGGCTTAGAATACAAGTTTAGGCATGTCTGTTGCACTCTTGGTGTATATTAAGATCATTAGGATATTTTATTCATAATATCCTTTCCCTGAAAAATATGTAAGTGATTATTTGAACCAAAATGCTGACCTTTATCTTGATACCAGTTTTTATCTTCTTGGTATCAGTCCAACATTCTAGCTTATTGGAATAGCTTTGATTATTTGATCTTGTTTTCTATTTGTTAGCTATGCCTACCAGCTTTGTACTTCCTGTGCTTTGTGTAAATGCCTACCATACCTTAAATCAAGAAACTGATAAATTCATGAATAAAACAGGACTATTCATGTTAATTTTGTTGAAATAGATATTTTTACAGTGCCAAAGACCTATAGAGAGAACGCTTTAACTTCTTATTTTTTCTAGATGATTTTATATTTTTTAAAATTAGAGTTAAATAATAACCATTTGTCTGATACTGTGCTATTAAATATAAGGGACATTTGTTTTCAATTTTTGCTTTACAGTTTAGTGTAAAACACTGTTTCAAAAAAGTACACAGAATTTTATACAACTTGTCTTTTTATGCCCACACTCTCTGATGGTGATTCATGCCTTTAGTTGACCTCGACTTTGATCCATCCATGAATTATTAGAATCAGCTAATTTGTTATTTTTGTGTGTGAGTAATTTTTTCTTTCTTCAGAGCTTTAGGAGACCAGTAGCACAAAGGTAGGTTAGCTTTTTTTTTTTGTCTGAGTCAGCCTGATTGGTGTTTAATTAAAGAGTTCTGGCACCCCTACGAAGAACATTTTTGAGTCATCTGAATAAATTTTAGGTACTATAGACTTTACTCAGGGAGACCCTGAAGGAGTCTTGGTTAATCCTTATTAACTTGGTTAATTCTCCCAGTTTAGAATATTTTAAACCTCTAGTCAACTAAAGCAACTGCTTTTATGGTTCTCAAATGGATAAATTTATGGTCAGAGACTAATGGACTTTGGTTCATTTCCAAAAGATTATGGCATTAGATGGAATTCATATTTAATTGATAACAGCACAAACTTTAATACATTGTTCTATATTATAGATTATACCATATTAAGTCATAAATTTTTGTTTGTGCAAATGTGTTATTGTGAAAATGTTAGAGCGGGAAGAAGAGGTTTTAGAGGTCATCACCTTGTTTGTGGATTAAATCAAACAAACAAGCTAAACACACACATGCACACATAGGCGTGCACATGTACCCATTTGAGTGTGGACATGCAGAAAACTAAAACCAAGTAAATGTGACCTCCTGAGTCCATTTCAGGGTTTTATAGTTCATTATTCAGTGTTTGTTTGTTCACTGGCCTTTCTGCCTCAGTCTCTCCCTGCTAAATTCAGCTCACTCTGTTTCAGACTGATCTTTCTAATGCTCAGATCATATCACTGCCACACTTTAGAGTCTTGACTGGCTCCCTCTTGCCCGCACAAGAATGTGCCAACTCCCTTCCACTTGCCCAGTGCCTTTCATGATCTCAGTGTTTCTCCTGTGCTCACATAACATCTCATGTGAGGTCATGTTCAACCACATGTCATCATGTGCAGTTCTTCCAGCATGCCTGCTACTTCAAGCCTTTGTACGTGCTGGGCATGCTCTTCCCTCTATCAGGAATGCCCTTTCCTTCCTCGTTCTTCAAAATTCTGATTCATCCTTCTATGTCCAGCAGCGAGGTTCCCTCTATGAAGACTTTCCTGCCCACCCTTCCACAGTTCATCGCTCCTTGCTCTCTGCTACATCTGAACTTTGCAGTACTTCTTTTGTTTTCTATAAATGTGTCTGAATGTTTAAAATCCAAATGTTTGTATGTCTGTCTTCCCCACTAGATAGTGTGTATCTCCAGGGTGAGACTCTCATTATTTATCTTTCAAATTTCTGATTTGTGTCATTAATATGTAGAGAGCAATGAAATTCAGTGCCCACCAAATAATAGGAACGAATTAAATTTTCTTGAATTTAATAAAAGTGATCCTTTTAGATGACTTCAAGATATTCACAAGACATTAAGTAAATGATTAGCATCCTAAAGAGTATCTTACTGACCTAGATCGCTGATTACTCTCTGGGACTCATGGATGTGCTATGGAGTTTTCATCAGTAGAGATCTGATTGCACTGTTGTCCAGGGTCTGGAGAAATCCCAAGTGTGTTTTTGAGGTTCCTGATGGTGCTTGACTAGAAATGGCAAGCAGGACAGTCAAGTGTTCACATATAATATTTGAGTTTTGAAAATTGGATTATGTCATAAAATTTTTTGGACAAATTTTTGTAGTATTTTCCAGGTCAGCTACCTATGATATTATATCCAGAATGTAATCCAACTTTGCTCTGCCTGGGTTTGAAGTTTAGGTCTTCTTTGTTATTGCCTGTGTAACTCTGGGCAAATTACCTAACGTCTGAGTCCTGGTTTGTCTGCCTGTTTAATAAAGGACAGTACCTCATAGAACTAGTGTGAGGATTGAGTAAGGTTGACATGATCGTGAGTGTTAAGTGCTTAGGGCAATGCTTAGCACAGAATAAAATCATGTGTCCTGGTGAACTGTGTTTAGGTGAACGTGGAACACCTAAGCTTGTTTGTTTAAATGCAAGCCTTCAGAGTTAGACATTCCATCATTTACTTACTATATGATTTGGGCATGTTATTTAACTTCTGCCTCTTCTCTTCATCTTAAAATGGACGTCATAATTTGACTGACTTCATAGGATAAGTGCATGTGAAGCGTTCAGCACAGAGCCTAGCATGGAGTAGGAGCTTATAAATGGTGATCATGATGATAATTGAAGGAAACATGCTTGCTGTTACAATGACAGAGATTACCCAGGACAATAAAGAGAAGGCAACCTTAAAAGATGAATGCCAATTCTTTCTTAGTATTTGTTTCCATTTACAATTTTTTTGCACAGTTTTAAAAAAAAAAAAATGTGGTCATTATAGCATGAAATAACTAGTTATTTGCTGGGTTTTTTGTCATCATTGTTGATACTGTACTGATAAGATCATAGGTGTTGTCTACGGTTGCCTATAGTTTCAAGCCACAGAATTAAAAGTAGGAAGAGTCTTGGTTTCCTTTTAATAACTTAACATGAGGAAATTCATCTCATTACCTAAGTCTGTAATATTTGTACCTGGAAATATCAGTTAAGAATTTACATGCAGTTGTTGAGGTAATCCAGACAACCAGTGCAGAGTAGCTTGGGAGATGTTCTCGGCACTACGTGCCCTAGGATCTCCTTAGATGAGGCAGCAGGCTAAAGAGAGCATAAAGAAGACAGCAGTTTTAGTTGGGGACTTCATCTCTTATAAACAAGGAGGGGCTGTTGGGAACTGCTGGCTGGTGGAGGCTGCCGTATGAAACACTGCTGCTGCACCGTCCCTGCCCTCACAGACTAACATGCTCTAAGCACCTCAGAACCATTTGCATTTGGGAAAATTCTGTATTTAGTTCCAGATCCTTTCATTGCCCTCTCCAGTGGGGTATATTTTTGTTTTTTCAGAAATACTTTAGAAAAATTTTCTCTCTTCTCAATTTGCCATTTTTACACCTCATTTGGAAATGCGTTTTAATTCCACTTTTCTTTTGTTACTTTATATTTTAGTAGTTCTGTCTAAAAATCTGTAAGCCAGGCAGGCAGCTTTATGAAAAATCTATGGGCACAGAACTGCAAATTCCAGCATACATCTGTGTTGTAGTGTTGAGGACAAGTGAAAGACTGCCAGGCATTTCAGATGTTTATTGTTCTAATTTAATTTACTTCAGTAGTTCAGTTTCAGTGGACCAGAAGCTTACTGTGAAGAGACAAGCACAAATTAACTCCCTAGAGCTGTAGCAGTTCATTGCCTCCCTGCCCTGCCCCACCCCTCCTCTACTCTGTTTTGATGGCCTTGGGCTCCATGTGACAAAGGATTCTGTCAGCCTGATATTGCGTCTGATCTTCTACTAATGCCTTTTTCTCCCGTAGAAGTTAAACCTTCCCAAAGCGATGAGACCCTTCTGTCAGAAGATGAATGGAAGGTGTTAGTGCTGACGGGAAATACAGGGACTCAAGCCAATGTCACACTCTGGGTATATGGAGATGAAGGAGTCACTGGACCAATAAGTCTTAGCAAGGACAGCTCAGAGCAGCTCTTCCTTCCAAGACAGGAGGATGAGTTTCAGGTAAACAATATCGGCAGTAATATTGTTCTTTGAACATTTTAAAGGTATTTATGTAGTATGGAACAGTGTGGTTGTGTGTGATTGTGTGTGTGTGTCCTGTATAAAATAAATCTCTGGTCTATGAGAATCCTCGTAAGTTATCCTAATGCCTATTATAATCGTTAAAGGAAACTTTTTTTCTCAAGTATCTTATACAAGCAAGGAAAATTGTAACAGAAAATTGCTTTCTTTAAATGCAGTTTGTTTTATTTAGGCCATTGGTTTGAAACTGGCCCCTAAACCATCAACCTCAACTCAAATTGTAAACAGATTATAAGACATTTAGAGATTCTTCTGGTAATGAAAATCCTCTTTTGTATAGTTGCATGTACTTTTACATGTTGTTCAGCTGAACTGTATGGGTGTAAAATCATTTTTTTGACATCTTCGGAGGCCAGATTTTGAAGCTCAGCCTGTGCCCATTCAAATATCTCTCTCCTTTACTTAGCACCAAAAAATGCTGGGCTACATTGTTTTGAGTACCCCTGGTTGCCTCTCCTAGTTTCCTCAAGACTTTGGACAAATTTCAGCTAGGACAATTACATTCTACTTCACTAATTTACCCCACTCCCACAGGGTGAAAGCATATGGGTCTTTGGTGCACTGTTAAACAGCAGTTGTTCTCCCTGAAGAGTATTCCTTTTGTATCCTAAGGCTGGATAAAGACTAGAGAATGATTAAGGCCAACTTGAGTCAACAGGAAGCCACTGCCGTTTGGGGCTGCAGTACCAGGCAATCACTAATCCCCAGATGGTTTCTAGATCTTCTACTTTTGCAATCATTAGATTTTTAGGGAAGAAAAGCAGTTGTCTGCAGTCATGAAGGAGCACTTTGGCTCAATGCTCAGGCAGTCATACCTTATACAACGTATGCATTTCAGGAGATTATTTGAAGATGATTGTTTAGAACTCAGAATACGTATGTTGTGGTTAGATCCCTAGGCCACTCCACAAAAGTCTGTTATTACCCATGATATACCTTGTGGTATATGTATTTATGTGCTGATAAATCCTCTCAATGTTTTTCTGGAAAAATTTACCCAGGGTCCAATCTTGGAATGCATGGTATAGATTCTCAGTCTTGACTGCACATTGAAATCACCTGGGGAGATTTAAAAGCTACTGATGCCTGGTTCTGCTTTCAGAGATTCTGGTTTATTTTGTCTGGGGCACAGCCTGAGCATTGAGGTTTTTAGAAGCTCCCCAAGTGATTCTAAAGTGCAGCCAAGGTTGAGAATCTCAGCTATAGCACTAAACTGCAAACCAAGTGGGCTAGATTGGAGTCCTAGCTTTCCGTATATTCACTGTGTGACCTCGAATATATGACTTATTTTCTCCAGGCCAGCATTATTTTTACATATAGAATGGAGGCGATGATATCTGTTCTTTCTAAATTCCAGAGTGGTCTGATGACAAAAATAAAAAATATATATACTTTAAGAAAATCCTATTGACATATAGGAAATGTAGTAAATTGGTTAAGAACAGAGGCCTTGGAGTCATGGAGATTCAAAGCCAGATTCAACTTTGCATTATTCCCGTCACCTTGAACAGGTCGCTTATCCTCACTAATCTTTAGTTTCCTTCTTAGTAAAGTGGGGAAGTGGGTAATAATACTTACTTAAAAAGCTTGTTGTGAAGTTTAAAGAATGTTTGGGCATGTGTGTGAAGTGCACTGTGCCTGGTAGATGGAAAGTGCTCTACAAATGGCAGATTATCATTACAGTTATTGAGGACTCTCTCTCTCCTGATCACAGGCATCAGCATATGTTTTCGTCTAGCTTCTCCTATTTACTGTGAAGTGAGAGTAGGGACTTACCCAGCTCTAAGCTACTACCTCAATGGGAGAGATCAGGGAGGGGTATGAAAGCCCCCTAGGAGTGTAGGACCTTGTGGGCCCCAGGCCAGGAGCATGGGCATCACCCAGGAGCTTCTTAGACATGCAGGGTCTTAGGCCCCACACCATATCTACTGGATCAGAATCTGCATTTTAATAAGATCCCTAGGTAATTTGTGTGTACACTAATGTTTGAGAAGCACTGGTTTGGGGTTTAAGGGACAATGGGACTGGGGCATCTTGAAAGTCTGGAAACCCTAAATTAGGACTAGCCAGCTCATTCCTTTTCGCTCTCTTCTGTGGGCATTGACTTCCGCGTTCTTTTTCACCAGCATCATTTGCCACTTCTGAATTAGTCTTTTATTTTCCTTTCTTCCTTCCAATCCTGAAGTGAGCACATAGTCATTTTTGCGGACAGTGTGGTATTTCAGATCAAACAGGCTTGGGTTTGAATTTTACTTCTGGAACTTACTGTGTATCAGCTGTGTATCCTTAGACAAATTACTTAGCCTCTTTAAGTTTCTTTATTCTTTAAAGTAGATTCTTTAAAGAGCCCTGCTCTTCATGGGGCTGCTGTGCAGATTGGAAGAGACCATGCTTGTGAAGCACTTGCCCCTGGCTGGCACATGGCTGAGCTCATTGCGTGGTAGTTCCATTCTCCGGAAGTAACAAGCAGGCAGGCATGAAGTCACATATGCTTGGTAACCTGACTGTTTAGTTAGCCCTTTATTTTTTTCACTTAGAATGTGTAGAAAGAGAAAGTTTACACTTAAGTGCTAGTAGATTCTTGCGGCAATGAAAGGATATCTGCACTTTGGCTTACCTGTCAGAGAAAAACCAAGCCCACACTGTGGGATAACTTCTTACTTCCTCTAGTGGGAAGAGCTAGCTTCTAAGTTCTGCCACTGAGACCAGCTCTGGGAGTAAGAAAGTTGGTGGAAGTTGGCTCTGTGGGATTAACAGCCCTCTCTTCCTTCCTCCCAGTCAATGCCATCACAGTGTTTGACCAGGTGTTGTAATAGCCCAGGGCTGGTCTAGCCACTGCAGTCTATGGGGGAAAGTGGTGGTGGTGGTGATGGGCACTTAAAAAAGTGAATTTCTAATTTTGGTATTGGGTATGAAAGAGGAATTCTGATGGCTTCTGGGTCATCTGACTGTCCCAACTCTTTCGGGGTCTAGATCATTGGTAGGCAATGATATAAGTCAAATATAATATGAAAGTGCCTACCAAGCACCTTCTGTGGAGGTAGATGAGTATCTGTAGTAGAAATAACGATAATAGGTATTATTTAAGCTATTAAATAATAAGGTGGTGTATTGCCCTTTTTAATCCTCACAGTTTAGTGTCCTGGACATATACTTATATCATATATATATATACATATAAGCAGAAAATGTTTGGTTATAAATCTATCTCCCTCACTAGATTATAAATTTCTCTAAGTTAGGGACTATGCCATCATTTTCATCTTTGTATACCTGTGGCCTTGCACAATGCCTAGATTATTGTGTTAAATAAACATTTGTGTAGTTGAACTGAAAATTGTATGCAATGGATGTTATGTCCATTCAACAGATAAAGAAATTGAGGACCAGAGATGTAAAACACCGTATTTTACTCAGATTACAACAGCCAGGACACCAGTTGAGCTCAAAGTGACTCCAAAGCCATTTCCCCACAGTGCTACCTGGATTAACAAATACTCTTGGACCATGTCAAAAACTAACTAAGTATACATGTTCTGTGGGCAGATTTGTTTCTTTTCCTTGAACTTTGAACATCTATGTCTTATCCTAGGAGTCAAACAAGAGAGGATTTTCAGAGTAGAAGGAAGTTCTAGACTCATTGGTACTTTTCCTAAGCTTATAGAATAGCTATATTTAGCTTTGATGAAAATTGCGTTTTTACTTCTTAAAATAAGAGCCCATCTTTCTGTCACTGGGGCTCAGCTCAGATGTTGGCTTCCAGTGAGAAATGTGTGGTAGTCAGAGAACTGAGCATATGTATGTTCTTTATCCTATTCTTTCATCTGACTCCTTCTGCATATTTTTAGTCAAGTCTCATGATATTTCTGTCTTATGTTCTGTGTCTGTGTAGTCCGATAGCTTCTTGAGAGGGCTTAATCTCTAGACTCTGAAAGCGTCCGTGAGAGTTTTTCAACTATTAGTAAAAAAATGCATTCAGTAAGAAGAAGAGAAGTAATTTTTTTTGAATTTTACTTATTTTATTGAGGTCATATTGGCTTATAACATTGTGTAAATTTCAGGTATACATTATTATTTATCAGCTTCTGTGTGGAGTGCATCATGTTCATCATCAATAGTCTAGTTTTTATCCATCGCCATTCATATATGCCCCATTTACCCGTTTTACCCTCCCCCCACCCCCTTCCTCTCTGGTAACCACCAATCTGTTTTCCTTATCTATGTGTTTGTTTGTTTATGTTCCACATATGAGTGAAATCATATGAGAAAGAATTTTTTTTTTTTAATAATTTTATTTATTTATTTTTCCCCCAAAGCCCCAGTAGACAGTTGTATGTCATAGTTGCACATCCTTCTAGTTGCTGTATGTGGGACGCAGCCTCAGTATGGCCGGAGAAGCGGTGTGTCGGTGCGCGCCCGGGATCCGAACCCGAGCCTCCAGCAGCGGAGCACGCGCACTTAACTGCTAAGCCACGGGGCCGGCCTGAGAAAGAATTTTTTAATGTGCTTAATTTAAAACATTCTGCTAATTTTTTCTTCTTTGTATTTCATTTAGATTGAAATAAGGAACATTGGAATGATATATAAGATAAGGATAGGACATGATGGAACTAGCGAGCAACCTGAGTGGAGTTTACAGAGGGTAATGTTTTTTATTTTTTGCTTCATAGTTATTCTATTATGGAAAGAAATAGTAGACTTCTTAAAGCGGTGAGAAAGATAACATATTTTCCTAATTGTTGTAAATAATGTGAACAAAATTTTTGTGGCTATAACACTCTAAACAAATATGGTTCCTCCTTGTGAGTTTTTTTTGTTTTGTTTTGTTTTTTGCTGAGGAAGACTCGTTCTAAGCTAACATCTGTGCCAATCTTCCTCTATTTTGTATGTGAGTCACCACCACAGCATGGCTGACAAGTGGTGTATGTCTGCGCCCGGGATCTGAACCCATGAACCTGGGCTGCTGAAGCCGAGCATGCCAAAGTTAACCACTACACCACAGGGCCAGCCCCATGAGTTTTTTTAAAATAGCATTTTTATGGTTATATTTACAAAGGCAATCTGTGTTCATGGAAGAAGATATGAAGAATATAGTAAAGTATAAGAATAAAAATGAGCTGTTATTCATTAATCATTAGATGACCACTGGGGTGGTTCATTTTCTTCAGATCTTTTTTCTATGAAGCTCTCTCGTGAACTCATTCACTCTCTACATACACACACACACACAAATATATAAATTTATATATTTTATATACATTTTGCCCTTTTATATATTTATATTTTACCCTTTTAATGAAATTGAGTCATGCTATGTATGTACTTTGGGATCCTGCCCCTTTTTTTTTAAATTAATCATAGCAATAAAAACAATAATAATAAGTGTTTGCTGAGCGCTTACCGTATGCCAGCTGCCTTGCAAATACTATGATATTTCTGTTGCTTAACACCAACTCTTTAATTTAGATGCTGCTGATATCCTTATTTTACAGATGAGAAAACTGAGGTTCAATCCAGTTAAGGGATTTGGCTGAGGTCACTTAGTAAATGGTCTTACTGTATGTTGGACTCCAGGGATTGAGATCATAAGTACTATCATTGGGCATTAAGTTTGTTTTCAAAAATATATGGCAATTAAATTCTCAGAAGCCATGAGACTTCTGTATGGAAGCAGTAATTATTGTGGAGTCAAATGACATGTTTTGAATCATAGAACATCTCTGTTTTCTAGCTTTAAATACTGTCACTGATTTCTTTACACTACATGATATGTTATTTTAAAATGTTTGAGGTTTAAAATTTCGAATACCGCTGAGGATCTAGCAAATTTGTCATTTTTCCATTTAAAATGTTTCTTAATCTTATCTGTGATTTTTATTATTGTATATTTGATTATATAATGAAAGTAAATGAGAAAATTTTAAATTTACTGAAATGTTTATTGCAGCATTTCTTAGCACATAACTAATATAATGAGAACTGGCATTCTTATAGTACAGGAGCAGGTAAATATGTCCAGTCAGTATGGCAAGAAGTATTTTCTGAGCAATATATGCCCTGCATTGTGCTAAATGCTACTGAGAATGGGAGGAAACTATATGTTGGCATTAAAGTTTTTCTATTTGGAAACTTTGAAAGATTTCAAAAGAGAGACAAAAAATGACCTTTTAACAAGAAGATGCAAAACCCATGGAAACTGCAAAGTTTAGCAAAATTACAAATTCTGTACTTGTGAATTACTGGGAAAGACAAGTCAGAACATTTTAGAAAAGACCTAGCTATGAGTTAAGTTGGCCTGTGTCACTAGCATGGCTTGTGCTTTGTCTGGGGCCTTTGAGTGAGAAGAGTATTCAGGGGTGTGGCAATATCACTGTGTAGCGATTCTTTAGCTAGATGGGAAAACATCCCCAAGCAGAGGCATTCAGAGGAGGGAGTACCCTGTCCTCGGAACCAAGGAAGCCGTGTTCCGTCCTCTGGTTGGTGGTAAAGGTTTCTGTGAAGAGCAAGGTGGGTAGAACATAAATTGGTTAATTCAACAAATGAATTGAGCAACTAGAACTGTGTTTAAACCACCAAAGTGATATGGAATAAGGGACTTTTCCTACAGCTTATTGGGTTTTATTACTTTTTTGTTTTAAAGTAATTTCAAATTGATAAAAAAAGTTATGAGAATGGAATAAAAAACTCTGATTTCACCCAGATCCCTAGTTGATAACATTGTACTCCATTTGCTTTATCATACTCTATTAAAATATGCATATATATGTGTGTGTTTGTATGTGTGTGTATATTTTTTAATCATTTGAGAGAGAATTCAGATGTCATGCCCATTGCCACTTAATTTTTCAGTCTTTATTTCCTAACAACAAGGATTCAAGCCAGGAGAGTGAGTTGCATTTAGTTGTCATTTTTCCTTAGTGTCTTTCAATCTGGAAGAGTTCTTCTGTCTTTTCTTGTCTGTCATAACCTTGATATATTTGAAGAGTACAGGGCCATTACTTTGTAAAATGCCTCTCAATTTCTGTTTGTCATGATTAGATTCAAATTTTGTATTTTTGGCAGAAATTCCATAGAAGATATGGTGTGTTCTTTTCAATGCATCGTATCCGGACACAATGTTATTTTGTCTCATTACTGGTAATGCTCACTTTGAGCAGTTGGTTAGAGTGGTGTCTATCACAGTTCTTCAATGTAAAATCCTATGTATTTTTGTACTTATTAATTAGTGATTAATTAATAGTATTCTGTGGGGAGACACTTTGTTCTCATAAAATTTTCACCCACTTATTTTAGCATCCATTGATGGTTCTTGCCTGAATCAGTTATTACTATAATGCTTGCCAAATAGTGATTTTCTGATTCTGTCATTACTTCATTTATTGGCATTCTACTGCAAAGTAGAACTTTCCTTTCTCTTCCACTTAAAAATTTTATTTATTTATTTATTTATACAGGCGTGAACTTAATGGATTCTTGTTTGATTGGTTTAATCTGTTTTTATGATCGTTTATTTTAATGCTAAAATCATCCAATATTTGGCCAGCGGGAGACCTTTCAAGCTCCTGTTTCCTATTGACATGTCACCATCCACACTCTGAGTACTGTTTTACTTTCTGGCACAAAAAGATGTTTCGGGCTCATCTAATACTTCCTTTTCCCCAGCCCTGGAATCAGCTATTCCTCGAGCAGCCCTGGTTTCTTTTAATGGAGAATGGCATTTAGAAACTAGTATTTGTGTGAGACACACAGAGAAGTTACTTTCCCTACTAATGCCCACTTCCTTCAGCCCCAGAGGCCACTTCTCCTGATGTGAAAACCTGGCTATGCCTCTGCATTCACAAGACACTCCTGGTAAATAGTTCCAAGGTGAAATGAGTTTGTAAAACAGAGTTTTTCATTCCTCTCTTAGAGATTTGCAATGCATGTTAATATAGTTAAGGCTCTGAGATGCCCTGTGGTGAAGAAATCTGTTTTAATAGCATTTCCAAACTAAATTCAACATGGGACCATATTTTTTAGGTAAAATCTATTAACATCCCTTGAAGTGAATATTGAGCATTACTGTAGAGGTTTGAGGAATTTGGGGGCCAATCGAGGAAAAAGATATGACCAGGAGGCAGCAGCAGTAGCACACACAAATTTTCTTGCTTGAGGCCTTGACAGCTTTGCCTGTCAGGGAAGTCCCTCACAGCAGGAGTCTGTCCGGAGGCTAAGGCATGGTTTGCTGTTCAGAAGGGACGGAAGGCGAGGGAACTCCCAGGAGAGAGGAAGATCTGAGGAGAGAGGAACATCTGAGGAGAGGGCTTCTGTGTCTAGGGGTGTTTCTCAGCAGCACAGTGGGGAGTGGCTGTGTCAGGGAGCTCCAAAGGACAGCAGAAGCAGCTTGGGGCCTTATAACTGCCAGGCCCCATCTTAGCAATAGGTAACAGCTGTGGGTGAGGTTTTTGTGGGGTGTGCAAAGCAGGCGGTCTCTAAATGCCTAAAGATTTGCTTATTTGGGACATTTTTTCTTTTCTTGTTGAGGTAGAAAACCATTTGGGCTATTTTTATATTTATAAAATTTGAGTTTGTTGCCAGTGGTCTTGTGAGCTAATGGGTCTCAGCCTGCAGTGAAAAAATAAACAGCCTTGGGGACAACAGACAGAGGCCATCTTTGACTGAGTTATATAAAAATTACACACTGGGAAACATGACATGTTTGTATGAATCCAATCATAGTGTTGACCTTAAACAGATAGCTAGTTATTTCTCCAGCAAAAATGGGTTTATTCAGGATCAGCAAAGAATTGCAATTCAGGGTCTGCAACCATGGCAAGCCGTGTGTAAGTCCTCCAGTAGCAAGGGAAGAGAAACTCTTATATAACAGAACAGAAGAGGAAGTTGGGAGGGCTGTTGTAAACAAAGAGTTCCAGGCGTAGTGGCTCTTCATTGGCTGAGTTGTGACAGTCTCTCATTGGCTGAGCTTCTTGCTGGGCAAGAAGAGGAAGTCTTTCTTCTTCCTGTTGGGCTCTGCTATTGACGTAGGGCTTGAGAGCTCCCCCATCTGGGCTTCCAACTGCAATTTAATGAAGTTTCTGTTTATTAATTTCCACAATAGTTAACAGTGTGTAGATGTTTATAATTTATATGATTTAGAAAATGACTGGCTAATGTGCTAGTTCCCTCTTTTGACTTTCCAGGCCTACAGAGAGTTCTGGGAGAGGTGATCAA